ATAGAAACTGCATTGGAACATGTATCTCTGGATTGGAAGTGATCATATTGTTAATATTTCTAGCCTTAAACTGAAAAGATTATATTGTTCAAAATTGTTTGTTAAACATTTGTTTAAATTTTTCCCTCTTTTAACAACTGGGATCTAGATGGAAGAGAAAAGACCAGAGAATGGCCAAAATTATTGGGGCAGCTATTGCTGCCAGTTCAAAGCCTATGTCAGGAAAAGGAAGTCTTACTCATAAACAGTGCCACCTTTATTACCAAAGGTAATAAAGGAGGTCAGAATTGTTCCCACTGTGGAAAGATGGGTCACTTCAGTAGACAGTGTCACAGACAAGAGCCACAAATAGACAACGGAGTAGAGAGGAAGCTCCCACTCACTTGCTTTAAGTGTGGATTTGAAGGACACATGGCCAAGGGCGGCCCACATCAGGTCCTTGTGGCTGACAGGACTGACAGGCCCCAGGTCCCAGCTGGAAACAGAGGAGGGTGCTTCAACGATTTAGATCCTCCCAGAAGAGCCATGGGTGAGCATTAACATTACTGGTAAGTATATTCATTTTCTCCTGGACACAAGAGCCTATTATTTGGTCCTAAAAGCCTTCTGAGGTCCCAACTCTTCTCACTATTTCTTAGTTGTTGGAATTGAAAGAAAAACCTCATAAGCAGTTTTGTGCTTCATCTCTGCCTTGCATGTGGACTTCCGAGCTGTACAACAACCCAGTGGTAGATGGAATTTGGTCCAGGACTTAAGAACAATAGATGACATAGTTGAGTCTCTACATCTTGTGGTTCCTAACCTTTATACTATAATAGACAAAGTCCTAGTCAATAAGCCTTTTATTTTAAGAACTACTTTCCCTCTGTAACTTGATTTGTGTCACTGTTAGAACCTCTACTTGGAATATTATTGCTTTTAATTTTTGATTCATGTAGTTTTAACTTCTTAGTTAAATTTGTGTCTTCTAGGCTGCAATAGTTCCATGATACATCTTCAAGGATATGAACATGCACGGCTAAGCACAATTGATAACAGTGCATCTAAATTCCAAAATCAATCTCCACAATAGTCTACGCGTTTCTTATTGCAAAGGGGCCTTTTAGAGTAGTAAGAGAAGATCTTCACCCTGAAACCTACAGCGTCCCTTTTCAGCAGGAAGTAGCTAAGAGAATATGCCATCCCCTTTTCCTTATGAATCAGGGTGAAATCTCTCTCAGGGAGGAGTGATAGGGAATGGCAAATGACACACTGGCAAAGGAGATTAATCAGAACTGGTTTTGACAAGCACTGTGGCAATAGGACAATAAAACAAACTTTCAAGGGGGAAAAAAAAGAGGAACGAACTGGGGGTGGGTAGAGAAAATAGTGCAACAATGAATGAATGGAAATCCAAAATCTCTTTAAATGCTCATTAAAATTAATAAAATTTAATTAAAAAAACAAGAAAGGGAATCCCAGAATATTTGTGTTCATAGAAAACTTTATATCTAGACCAAGAGGTTATTGTGCAAACACAGCAGAGGAACACTATATGGTTTGAAATTAAGAAAGGTTTGTATCAGGGTTGTATTCTCTCTGCATAGCTATCCAATATGTATGATAAGCAAATTATTAAATAACCTGAACTCTCAAAAAACAAAAACAAAACAAAAACCAAACCTGGCCCCTTGCCACCAAGTCCAGCCCTGCTCCCCAGTATTCACTCAGGTGGACTGTGTGGAAACCTGTGTGAGATGCAGACAGCAGCTTTATTCACAAATGTCCTCGACAGGGGACAAGCTGTGACCTTCCAGGCCGAGGATAGCTGTTCCTTGGGCTGCCTGCCGGCCTGCCCCACCTCCCTCCCTCCCAGGAAGAGGGCGACCCCTGGCCACAGCTGGCTCTGGCTCTGAGCAAGATATTGCCAGAAAGGACAGCATGTGTCAACATCTTAAGGGCAGGCCAGGTCCTGGAGAGGGGACAAGGGACCAGCAGTGTCCACAGTGGCCAGTCAGGATCTAGACCAACTGACCAGCCGGAGCAGGCAAGGCTAACCACAAGGCCCCAGGGTCTGTGGGCAGGGCTGGGGGAGAACACCAGGTCTACCTGTTAAAGGACCAGGTGGCTGGGGGAGATGAGGGGCCAAGGCTGCCTTTTAAGGACCTGTGCTGGGGCTGGAGGAGGGAGGGGTGAGGAGCTGGGAGCAGAAGAGACAGTGTGCCCAGGGCAGAGATTCTGCAGGACACACCGACACAGGGGCCACCAGGCCTGGGCCCTGCGTAGGGTCTCAGGGTCACATATCCCTCTGACCTTCTCAGGGTTTTGCTGTTATGTGGTCTCAGGGGAGGGGGCCGAGCTTCCCACCACTCCACCCCCCACAGTGACCCCCTGGCCTGGCCAAGTGGCCATGTCTACAAAGTCAGGCCAGACCCCAGTGCCTTTCCTGGTGTGAGCAGAGAGAGCCGCGTGGCCTTCAGGAAGGGTGGCGTGGTGGGATGGATACAGGCCCGGGAGGGAGAGGCTGTGACCCACCCACCCTTCCTCCCTGTGAGCAAGGTGGTGCCTGACTCCAGAGAGGCAGAGAATGGAGAAAGGAGTCGTAGTTCATCACATTCTGAACACACAGGCCTATCTGTCAGGAAGTGCAGCCAGACAGCTTCTTGGAGGCCAAGATGGTGAAGGCATCTAATCGGGAGGCGTGAGTCCTTAGAAAAGAACAGCACGCTGGAAAGGAGAGGGCCAGCGCGAGAGAGGAAGACCAGCAGTGAGACAGGCAGGGGTGACTGTAGCACGGGCTTGGCCATGACAGGTGTGGTGACGACGAGGTGAACACCTGCTGGACACAGCGTCAGTCACCATGGACTCAAAGGCTCCTGACAAGACCATACATCCTGTCATTTTCATCCAGGAACTAAATGTTCTTCTTGTTGTTACTCTGGGAGAAGGCTGGGGAACCTCACCTATGAAAGCCTGCTGGAGGTTCAGCTAGGCACACAGCAATTCTGTTACTAGGGAGCTCTGGTGCCTGGTAGATAAGGAGTCATGCGGCCAAATAAAAAATAGGTGGTTTAAATCCTCAGGAAAAACATGGGTGGCTCCTTCCACATGATTTATAGACTGACGACACGCCCAGGGGTCAGATAGGCATTGGCTCTGAACCTGCAGTAACGAGAAATGGATTATGGAGCCCTGGTGGCAAGGGTTCAAATCCGCCCTCTGCGCCCAGGGATGAGGCCTCAGCCTCGCAGCCTCAGGTACCTGGGCAACTCTTCTCTGTCCCAGAGTAACTGTGTGTTCACATCACCTCGCCAGCAGGGGGTTTATGATCAGAAGGCCCTGGTGGCACTGAGGTTAAGCACTTGGCTTCCATCTGAAAGGTTGGCAGTTCAAACTTATCCCATCACCGCACAGAAGGAAAACTAAACATCAGGTCTCATAAAGGTTACAGCTAAGGAAACCCCATGGGGCCATCACCCGGTGTCTCAGTGGGGCAGCGTGGGGTCAATGACAACACCACCGACAGTGCTATTGTTATGAGGACACTCTCATTAACAGCCGCGGGGGGGGGGCGGCTGACTAGCTCCTACCCTTCACTGGCCCAAAGGGCCAGGCCTGGAGCCTCTAGAGGGGTCAGCAGATGGTGGATGCTCCCTGCTCACTCCAGAGGAACTGGGGCAGAGACTGCTGGAAGAAGTAGCTAGAAAGGGGGGCTGCAGGGCCACTGGGCAGAAGGCCAAAGCTGTGGACACTGGAAGGCTGCTTTGAAAACTGATTTTGGCTCCAGGACAGGAACATCCTGGTGTTCATGGGTATAGGGGGCTGAGGGACTGGGTTCTGGAGGCCAGGGCCTGGGGACCAGGGGGCCTGAGGTACATGGGGCCATTGGAAGTGGTTGGTTGGGCCGTCAGAGAGCTAAAGGGACAAGCAGGGCAGGGACTAAGGGCTGGGCATCTAAGGGACAAAGCTCCCTCCTCCTCCTCAGGCTGGTTGAAGATGCAAACTAGATTTCAGGTACCCCAAAAGTGAGTAGAAAAAGAGGAGCCAGGGTCCAACCCAGGGCTCTTTCTTCTGCCCTTCTGGAGTCCCAAGACCACCTCATTCCCACCACTGACAGGAGAGCGGAGTCTCCAGTTCTGGAGGGGTCTGCGGGTGTGAGTGAAGCAGGCTGGCTGAGCTCCTAACCACAGCACCGGCCAGTCTGCCCCACCCCAGCACAGCACCTGCCCTGGGGAAGCCCCAGACAGAGGGGACCATGTAGGGGGCTTTCCAGGAAAGAGCTGGGGACGGCCAGGCTGCTCCCTGTCATTCTCCTGCACCCCACCCTGTTCTCCAGCCAGTGGGGGTGGTGAAGAGGCTAATGGCCTTCCCAGCTGGGAAGGTCAGAAGTCACCCTTCCCTTCCACACACACCCCACTCCCCCACCTGGCCAGCTCTCTCAGAGGGTGGAGGCCCAGCGGGGACTTTGCTCTGGGCAGGCTTGGCCTGTAGCATTGCCCACATGGGGGTTCCATGGAGTGAAGGGCAAGGAGGAGGGACTGAATAAACACCTGGCCTGCCTCAATTTCCTCATCTGTGAAATTGATTAGGGTGTAGAATGTGAGAGTCTGTGACTGGGTCCCAAGCCAGCGGTGCCACCCACCGGGGCAGCCCAGTCACAGAGGAGGAGACAGGGGCGGGGGTGAGGAGGGAGGGGCAGGGATGAGGAGGGAGGAGGCAAGGGTGAGGAGGCAGGAGCAGGGTTGAGGAGGGAGGAGGCAGGGGTGAAGAGGGAAGAGTGAGGGAAAGGGGTGAGGAGGGAGGGGCAGCGATGAGGAGGCAGGGGCAGGGGTGAGGAGAGGGAGGCAGGGGTGAGGAGGGAGGAGGCGGGGCCAGGGGTGAGGAGAGGGAGGCAGGGGCAGGGGTGAGGAGGGAAGAGGCGAGGGTAGGGGTGAGGAGGCAGGGGCAGGGGTGAGGAAGGAGGAGGTGGGGCAGGGGAGAGGAGGGAGGAGGCAGCAGGGCAGAAGGCGGACAGAATCAGCATGCTGGACACAGAGGTGACAGGCAGCCAGTGGACAAGGCAGGTGAGGGTGGCCAGGAGTGCAGGTTTGTGCTTTCACTTAAAACACCCTTTTAAAAACAAAGTGCATGCAGCAGTCTACCAAGTCCAGCTCTCGGGACCTGCCTTGCTGCAGAGTGGAGCTGCCCCCTGGCCTTCAGGGACATGGGCACCAGGCCTTCCTTCTGAAATGCCTTCAGGTTGATACTTCTCGCTGGCGTCAAGTCAGAACTGAGCACAGCTGACCCTCCAACAAGCGCTGGACACAGAACAAGACTGCCCGTCCTGGCTCTGAGTAGGATACGCTGCCAGTTCCCCACAGACCAGCTGCCAACCCTGCTGACGTCAGCACCAAGGGAGACGAGGCCCTGGGGTCTGAGCAGCAGGACCCTCTGGTCTGGGTCTTCTGTCTGGACCCCAGGGTTCTACGGGGCTGAGCTGGGAGCTGTCCACCCTGTAGTGAGGTCCCCCAGACTCCCACACAAGGGTTGAGGCATCGAGGCCCAATGATCTTAAAAAGATGGAGATTGAACTAAGGCCACCATGCATGCAGGCACTGGTCAGGTAGACAGGACGCCCCAAGGCCATGACATGACGTCCCCTTCCCCTCTGGCGCCCTGAGATCCTGGAGGGAAGCGACTGTCCCTGGCCTGGTGCCTAGCACTAAGGGCCAGCTGGAGGCCCATTGTTTAAGGCAGGGGCTGGCCAGGTCCGAGAGGAGGGGGTGCCTGGGAAGCTGGTCTGAAGCCGGCCCCAGGCCATAATGCCCTTCGTCCCACTTCCCCAGAGTCCAGGCTCCAGCCGACCAGAGCTGCTCTGTGCTGCCGAGATGAGGACAGGCGCTGTCCTGCTGGTCTTGCTGCTGCTTGGGGTGTCAGGTGTGTGGGTGAGGCCGGCTTGGGGGCTGGGGGACCACAGGACGTAAGGACCTAGGGAGGAAGAGAGACAGGGCTGGGGTCCTGCAGCTGAGGCAGGGACAGGGACTGTGCCATTGGGACTACAAACAAACACACAAGGCCCCAGCCCAGAGGAACCCCCACACCAGGTGCTGCAGCTCCACGCCCGGACATTCCTCTCTGGGGCTTTCCTCTTTCTACCTTTCTGGGATTTAGTTTCCTCTTCTGTAAAATGGGCAGAAAAGTGAGGATTCTGAGGTGAGGTGGGGCACGGCTCCCACGGCCAGTGTAGAGGGTCCACAGCCGGTGTGGAGGGTCCACGGCCAGTGTGATGGGTCCACAGCTGGTGTGGTGGGTCCTGTGGGAGGAGACAGGAGTCCTTCCTTCCAGGGGGTACAGGGACAGGAGGCCTCACCAAGGGCTGTAAGGGACAGTGGACAGCAGACTTGGGGGGGGAGGCATAAAGGGGGTGGAGGGAGAGGGAGGGGGACTGGGGAAGGGGGGACAGATGACAAAGTGGGGAGGGAGGAGGGGAGGGGAGTGAAGGCGCCTTGAGCAAGAGGGAAAAGGGGGAGTGGAGAAAGTGGTGGGAGGGGGCTGGGGGGTGGGGCTGGGAGATGGGAGTGGGATGGGGAGGAGGGGAAAGAAAGGGTCATTGGGGGATGAAGAGGGGAGAGGAGGGATTGGGGGAGGGAGCATGGCCCCCTGTGAGACCCATTTGTATGTGCGGACAGTGGAGGAGGTTCACAAGCGCCCCCTGACCAGGCCCCAGAGGGAGCTGGCTCAACACCACGGGGACGAGGATGACGAGGGTGAGGACGTTGGGGTGAACGGCTATGACGATGATGATGAGGAGGAGGAGGAGGAGGCCGTCATGACGGGCCCTGGGGACAGAGGTACCACACAGATGGCACATGGCCCTGGGGGTCATGGTCAGAAGGGCTGTGTCCTGGACCCACAGTACCTCAGCCTACCCGTGAGGCTCAGCCACCCAGCAGGGCGGCTGGACAAGGAGCCCCCACTTCAGGCAGAGGAGGGGCACAGGGTGGGGCTCACACCAGTCCAGGACAGGCCTGGGCGTGGGGCAACGGGGTTCACTCAGGGCCTGGAGTACAGTGGGGATGAGAACATAGACTCGGGTGGCAGACCTGCTGGGGTGCCCCCTTTGAGCCCACGTGTCCCCAGCCCAGCTGCGATGCTACTTCTGCAAGACTGTGCATAAGGAGGAGCCGTGCACAGAGCTGCAGTCCTGCGGCCCCAGCCAGCCCTCCTGTGAGATGGTCATCACCCAGAGCGAGACCGGTGAGTGGCCCGCAGTGGGCACACAGGGCACTGGCATAGTGACGAGGATGGACCCCACAGCCCCCTTTGTCATGATGCTGTCCCACTGGGCACGGGATTGTCTGCCTAAGCCTTGCTCTGCCCTCCCCAGAGTCAAGATCTTTGGCCACCTACTCCGGGTGGTGCGCAGACACTTGTCAGCCCATCATCAGGACCTTCGTGGGCACCCGGCTGACCGTGTCCTGCTGCAACACCGCTCTGTGCAATAGGCCACCCTGGCAGACCCCAGGACCCCAGGACTCCCTGGAGGATGAGGTCAGAAGGCAGCCGGGGAGCGAGGCCCGAGGGCAGCCAGAGAGCAAGGAGAGAGGACGGCCAGGCAGCACATCTGGGAAGCGGCCGGGAAGCACGACCCGAGGGCGGCTGGACAGCATAGCCAAAGGACAGCCTGGGAGCAGGGCTAGGGGTTCCCAGGGCAGTGCCCCCACTGTAGGCACAGCCCTTCTGCTCAGCCTCCTGGCTGGCCGGCCAGCAGTCGGGTCCTGAAGACTCTGGCCTTCAGCTCCCATCCTGGGCCTCCTACCCAGCAGCCTCTACCTTGTCAGCTTCGGAAAATAAACTTGGAGCTTTGTTAGTCCTGGGCCAGCGCCGGCCAGCCTGTGCTCCCAGCTTACTGACTGGTGTCCTCCCTCACTCTCTTTGCCCACTGTCTACAGGGGAGAGGGTACAGGCAGCTGGGGGGGCAGCACCTTGAAGTCCAGGCCTCAACTGCACCAAGCTGGAACTGGCAGCCTCCAGTTTTCTCACAGCCAATGAAATCCCTTCTCTAGTCTGTCCCCATGGCCTCAGGAGGGGGGCTTTGGAGGAATGGGGTCTGAGATGCGGGGGCCGGCAACCAGTGTGGGCAGAGATGGATCAGGACAGGAAGCTGGAGGGCCTGAGTTGGAGAACAGAATGAGTCTGAGGGTTCAGGAGGAGAAGAGAGGAATGCAGGCCAGGGTGTAGGGCCAGGATCCAAGCCTATCCTGGGCCAAGGGTGTGCCAGCATTTCCTCTGGGCTGGGATGCTGCCAGCAGCTACTGGGCACCTGAGTCTTCCCACTGCACAGTAGCTGGTGCCAGGCCACAGCTCGGCCCCCATCTCCCCACCTGAGCAGTGCTCAGAACGGCTTGGAGAAGCCGCAGACCCTGCCAGCACAGGCGTCCATGGTCCTTCTGCGTGAAGCCAAGGCTGTGGGGCCACCCACTGCTCCTACCCAACTTTCCTGGCCTTCCGCAAGGTCCAGGAGAGGGGGCAGAATCCATCAGTGGAGGTGGACAGCCGCTCGTGTTCCCCTGCATCCTGCCTGACACCATGCTGGAGCCCAGAAACCACTTTGCACCAAGCTGTAGTGCACCTGGGTGTCAGACAGGCCTTTCAGGGTCCCGCTTCCACCTGAGAGCCTCCTTCCATGACGTGTGCGTGTGACTGACAGCATCACACACGCAGAGTCAGGCTCAGGCACCCACACACACTCTTGCACACTAGTGCACAATCATATACAACATGCACACTTACCCATGCACACGTGTGCACACCATGAACACATGCAGGATTTATACATGTGCACGTACACATTCACACACACACCTACACACATGGCCGTGCATTCACATTCCCTGGCGTGCACACACGTGCACTATTCACTCACACACATTCATGCACACACCATGCAGGCATGTATTATTCACATGTATGGATATACAGCTGCTTAAATGCAGCAAATATGTCCACACCATGCACACATGTGGATTCGGGCTTCTCGAGTTCTTCCAAGCTTTTCTTTTTTTTTATTGTATTATTTTTACATGTACCGTCAAATCAGATCTGACTGGTACAGGAGGAGACTGCCCCTCCTTCTCCAGCAGAGCATCTGGTGGATTCGAACCATGCACCTCTGGGATTGCAGTGCAGCGTCTTGCCACTAGGCCACCAGAGCTCCCTTCCAAGCTTTACTCTGATGAAGTTTATAGTCCTTGGTTTTAGTCCTAGGTCCATAATCCGCTTTGAGTTGGTTTTTGTGTAGAGTAAGGTGTGGATCTTGCTTGAGTTTTCTACAGATGGTTTTCCAGTTCTGCCAAGATCATTTGTTAAAAAGGCTGTCGTTTCCCCACTTAACTGATTTCATCTCCCTGTCAAAAATCAGTTGGTCATGGGTAGATGGGCTGATTTCTCGGTTTTCTTGATGCAGGAGTCACACCTACACACCTACACTTGCATGTTCACACAGTATCCAGCCCCATGGAGTACACCACACAGGTCCGCTCAGCTCCATGACCTTGGCACGTAGGCCTCCATCATCTGGGGAGAGCAAACAGCAGCAGCTTCTGTGCAGCTGCCGTGTGGGGACCAGAGGTGGTGGAAAAGCCCAGAGCCCCCTCTCCCCGCACACAGCAGGTGCTCACCTCTAATCCCTTGTTAGCAACAAACGCAAACTGCTCCATGGTCACATGTGCACGGCCTCTGGCGGACACGCTGCTGTGTCCCCAGACTCACTGAACCACACGTGGACTAGGGGCACCGGCTACCATCACATGTTCAAAGAATCCCCCCTCCTGAGGGTACCCACTAGTCTACGTGCTGACCTTCCACCCCCCATCCCCTGTGACCCCCTGCAGGCTCCTGGTCAAGCTAGAGTGGGTGCCTCAGTCTGCATCACAGGCAGAGGGGCTGCCCTGGCCTGGCCTCTTCCCCCAGGGTCTGGGCCCGCTGCCCGCAGCTGGTTCCCCGCAACCCCTGGGGAGGTAGGAGGCTCTGCCTGGGGCTCCAGCCTGCCCCGTGAGATCTGAAATGAATGGAAAACAGTTAAGGAGAATTCCAGCCCCAGATATCACTGTAGGCTCCCAAAGCTGTGTGGGCATCCGTGTGTGCTCTGAGTGGGGCAGGGTGGTGTGGAAATAGGTGCCCCGTGGGATGCCTGGCTCTGTGAGCCTCACTGTCAACGATGGGACTTGTCAGGCCCACCTCCTTGAGGATACAGGGAGGCTCAGAGATTCTCCAGGTCACACAGTGTCATCAGCAGGTTCTGGACCCGACCCCAGGTACCTGCCACCAGCAGGCTTCCCAGCCAAGCCAAAGTGGAAAGGGGCGCCAGGAGGCCAGGAAATCGGACACACCAGAAGCTGGTGGGATGAGGGAGGCGGATACTGGTCGAGGACTGAAACTTCCAGGCCATGCAAGGCAGGTGGGTCAGAGGTACTGGCTGGCCAGTCATGGTCACTGCCAAGACATTCCAGCTCGTTACAGAGCCTAGGCCAGGAGGCCAGTGCTGAGAGAGGAAATAGGCGCCCAGATGGCTTTGTAGGGGGGCCTCCTGCTGCCCAGGCAACACCCACACACCAGAAGGCGGAGAGGCCACCTTCTGGCCGCGAGTTGCTTCCTATTGCTGTGACAGTGACCACGACTTCAGTGCATCATGGATCCAGAGCCCCAGGGCCAGCCGCCAGGGGTCCAGGGGAGACCCCAGGGCTCTTCCAGCTTCCAGAGCCCCCACCCGTCATTCCTCAGCTCGCCATTGTCCCCATCTCCAGAGCAGCCCTCCAGCCTTTGCTACTGTGGGCAGATGACCCGCCTCCTTCCCACGTAAGGATCATGCATCGAATTTAAGACACCTAGTTAAACCAAGACCTTCCTCACATCCGGGCCTTAATCACATCAGCACAGTCTGTCCTGTCACATGAGGCCACCTTCATAGGCTCCAGGGTCAGGATGAGGATAATGAGCATCGCCACACCCTTCACTACAGACCCCACTGAACACCTGCCTGAGGCCTGGCCCTGCTGGAGTCCAAGACAACCCTGTGGGCTGGGACCCAGGTGAGCACAGCAGGACCACAGGGGGAGGACCTCTGAAGGAGGAGCAGGGCAGAGTCGAGGACAGGGAAAAGGGAGGATGTGGCAGAGGGATAGGTTAATCCCAAAGACTCCGAGGACCGGGGACACCAGAGGGGGTGCTGGTGCCGGCAGGTCCCCAGATGGGTCACACTGAAGAGGGTCTTAGTCCCGAGGGAGGTTGATTGGACTTTCCTCGAACAGGACCAGACAGATGCCACAATCTTACGTTGAGTAGGCAGAACATCACACAGAACCAGGGTTGCCATGCATGCAGCACACAAAGGCAAGGTGCTGCAGGGGACAGGTGGGACAGGTGGCCAGCTGCAGAGGAGCCAGGCTTAAAGGGGGCATGATGAGCTGATCACAAATAGCTGACCAGATGTCTCCCTCTTCACACCTGACCACACGTGGCCACGACTTCCCATGCCTCCTCTGAGGCAGGCCTGCCAGTCTGCATATGAGAGGTCACGGTTTCAAGGGGGCCTCTGCCCACTTTGCTTGTTATTTTCACTGCTCTGGCATCAGCCCTGACTCCTGAGGGTCTCGGCACATGAGACAAGAGCCCTCATCTCCGTGACCTGGCGTGGCGCTGACTGCAGTGACCCACAGGGCTTTCATCAGCTAGCCAGGCCTTTCTCCCTAGTGTCTTCTCATCCAGAAGTTCCACTAAGACATGTTCAGCATCACAGCAACTTGCCAGGCTCTGCTGGCTGCCAGTCGTGACCGCACTTGCGGTGCTCTAGCTGGGAACCGAGCCCAGGTCTTCTGCATGGGAGGCAAAATGTGTGCCCCTGAAGAGAAGGACTCTGGTGTCTTCTCATCTCACTCAGCCTGAGAACTGAGATGCAGGGACTTCTGTGAATGTGACAGGCATGGGGTGAGAGGAAGCCCTCGCTCTGGGTTCTACATGGGTCAGTGTCATCAAACTCATCCTAGAAGGAAGAATCCAGGCCCAATGATCAGCATCTAGACCCTCCAGTGACGCCTCGTGGAGGGAGAAGGTGATGACAAGGGAGGACCCGCTAAAGGGGGGAGAGCAGGGACCCTTGGCCAGAGCCAATCCCACACCCAACACGGTGTCACGGGGGAGAGGAACGCCTTCAGCTCGGCCTGCAAAGACCCCTGGGCGGAGATGTGCAGCTTTTACTTGGTCTTTGTCGCCACACTTTTGCAATGTCACCAAATAACTGGGTGGAGCCATGTAAATAAGGTGCTTGGATCCCCGATGAGGCGGTTGGTTAGTTTTATCATCCTGCAGGCTGAGAGACCGCTCAGGAGGCAGCAAGGGGACGCTCACTGCTACCAGAAAGAATAGGGAGTAAAGTGCGTGGCTCCTCCCTCAGGCAGAGCTGTTATCTGGAGGCGGCAGCAGGACCAGGGGCTGGGGCGGTGCACCATGGTATCCAAGCAGCAGGTGGCTGTGGTCAATGTGCCTGGTAACACCGCTGTGACCACCACGTGGGTGGGGAGAGGAGGCTGTAGCCCCACCTGGTGACCTCACCCCCACAGTGGGGTCACCTGCAGCCCCCTCTACTGTAGCCTTAGGCACAGGCAGCCATGTCAGCTTGTCCCCTGGGCCTCTGTTGGATGTGCTCCCCAAACAGTATGGACTCCCATGGAGCTGTACCCCCAGATCCTCCTGGCCCCTCTACAGTTTCATATCCAGTGCAGTCTCCCAGCTTGGGAAGCCTCCGCAGCACCAGGGCTTCCACACGCTCAATATTCAGGAGATGCCGCTCCCACCTTGTTCTCTGTGGCTGCATCCTCATGGCTGTGAGCCCGCATCCTACCGGCTTCTGTCTCCCTCCCGTGTCCCTCAGGACCACACAGCTCAGGGCCTCCTTCCTCGACATCTGGTCTCTGCTCTCCCAGGGAAACATCTGTGTCCACTGGTTCCCCTGTCCCGCTTGCCACCATGTGAAGCAGGGTCAAGCCCCCCAGAGAGGCTGGTGGGCTGTTGACAGACTGGACTCAGAGATGCAGGACCCCAAACCTGACTGGTGTGTCACAGGAGAAAGACAGCTCCTAGAGCCCAGACGCTCAGCGTGAAAGCCAGGGCTCAGCTGTGCAGAGTCACCCTGTATGTGCCAGGGATCCAGAGTGCAGGATCCTGACTGAAGCTTGGGGAGGGCAGGGTACTGGGAGTAGGACTTCAGTTATGATTGCTGACCGCGTATGTGTGGGTTAGACTGGATGCTATGTGCTGGGCTATGGTAACAAGCTGATTACAGGATGGGCTTTCTGGAAACAGATGGGCAGAGCCTACACAATAGGCTTTGTTTGGAGAACAGATGGTGAAGATTAACTCACTAAAGGGAAGCACATTGGAGAACACTTGACACAATAGTTTCTATTAACTCTCTCCCATCCCCAGGGTCACAAAGACTCACTGTGGCATCCACGTGTTGTTGTTGTTGTTGTGTACCATGGAGACTCACTGTGGCATCCCACAGTGGTAGTGGTGGTGGTGGTGGTGGTGGTGGTGGTGTGTACCATGGAGTGGGAACTAAGCCATCCATAGCTGATCCTCCAGATGGCTTTCAGAGGCAGTAAATTCCACAGGAATAGAGTGTCCCTCTTTTTCCTGTGGAGCACCTGGTGGATTTGAACCATGAGACTTTTGAGTTAACAAGACAACTTCTTACCACGAAGCCACCAACACTCCATAGTGTAGCTGAAGGGGGGGGGTAATTTGGTAATTTTCCTGGATAAATAACACTGTTTATATAAAGCTAAAGGTTGTTGTTGAGTACCGTAGAGTTGGAACCGACCCATAGCTGGCACTCTGGTGTGTTTTCAGAGCCAGTTAATTGCACGGTAGGAGACTGCCATCCTTCTTCTGCAGAGGAGCTGGTGCCCTCGAACCCTGTGCCTTCAGTGGCCTCTTGCCACGAGGCACCACTGTCCTTAAATGTTAAAAGGTGATGACCAGCCCCTTCTTCCTAGTCTTCATAGTAAAGAAGATCTGCTGAAACCTGACCACCACGGGTGACCCTGTGAAATACCAGAGGCATGGCTTCCGTGCAGTCAGTGCAGGGCAATCACCGAGCAGGCAGGGACCTGGGAATACTGGCTGATACTATGTGAGAACAGGATCTCCTCAAGGAGAGAAGCATCCACTCGTCAAGCAATTTACCTTAACAATGTGGACAGAGTGCAGCCTCCAGGACCTCCATCTGCTGATGTGGCACGACTCAAAATGAGAAGAGCAGCAAACATTCACTAATAAGTGGAAGGTGGAATGGTCAACAGGCGAGTCTAGGAAAATGCCAAGATGTCAAAATGAAAAGCAGCACAAAGATTGGTGACCTAGGCACCAGTGTCCGCGATGGACTGGTGCTGGCCATTTTGAAGCAAACGATCGTGAGGCTTCTACTGCTGCGAATGACAAATTAAGGATGAATAACATCATATTCGGACTCAAAAACATCTCAAGATTCTGAAGAACATTACTGACAGTATTAGAACAATATCCACATGCATACAAGAAAGAACTGTTAATAGGACCCTTGTTCACATTTACAAACCAACCTCAAATGCCAAAGATTGAAAAATAAAATCATTTTACCAATTTTCACAATCTGAAGTTGTTCAAATACGCAATCATATGCACACCTATGTTTATTGCTGTGTTGTTCACAACAGCAAAGAGATGGAAACAGCTGTTCATCAACAAACGAATGGATAGAGAAGCTCTGGTATAGTCACACAATGGAATACTATGCTACACTAAAAAACAAGGAACTCATAAAATAGTATACAAAATTGGTGACCCTGAAGGACATTATGCTGAGTGAAATATCTCAGTCACAAAAGAACAAATACTGCATAGTGCCACTGTTATAAAACAGGACTGACATGAGGGTTGGGGGAAAACTAAGAAAAGAGGGGATAAATATTGTACATGTCATTGAAACAGATGAGGGAAAGAACTGTTTAAATGGAATATATGATTAGGTATTATCTGCATCACAACAGTCCAGAATAAGAGCTGCATAGCAAAGTGGAGGGGGGGCGGGAATTGTGCAACAATGAAATAGTTTTCTTTTTCAAAGAAAAAAAAGCGAATGGGGGGATTGGTAGGGAGAAAAATGTGCAACAATGAATGAATGGAAGTCCAAGTTCTCCATAATGTTTGATAAAATCTCAACTGAAACGAGAAAACATTAAAATGAAGAAAAGTTTA